AGCCTATGAGCTCCATTTCATCAACCTGCTGGATACTAGAGATCAGGGACTAAACATAGACATTGGCTTTTTGATACATTATAATCTGCCTGGCAACTGACTCCCCAGCCCAGCCCAGCCCAGCCCAGCCCCTGGCTTCTTTACTTGTCATTCCATCCAGGAAGAGCACACACCAACTGCTGACACTTCCTTAGCCTGACGAAGGGTTTTTGAACCCGAAAGCTTGCTTAATAACTATTCTCCAACTATTCAGGTTGGTCTAATAAAAGATATCAAATTCACCCAAGGAACCTTGTCTGCAGGTATCTTATCTGCACTCCATGACTGACAGAACGAGACCCAAACCAGTTTGTCACTAGAGAGAATTGAAGACCTGAAGCTGCAGGAAGGGGATTTAACCACCGGTCTCTTGGGGCACGTAAGACTGTTCCCTAGAATCCAGCTTAGCTTTGAAGCAGAGAACCAGAGGGAAACATTCCTGGATTGATAGATTTAAAAGTTTTAATTTTAATCTTTTGGTTAGACTACTATGTAATTGTTTGTCCTGCTTTGGGGCCAAGATCTGTATCATAGGGAGGCCAGACTATCAAAGATATTTCAGCACCTAACAATTCAGAGGCACTCAGACACTTTCAGGAACTGTGTATTTTAGGCCCATCACCACCTCTGGCATACGTGGCCTGGCATCTTCCCTCTTGCCTTTTATGCTATGTACTTCTTGGGGTTTAAATAAACATGTCACGCTGTCTTCACCTTGTTCTGTCTCAAACTCTGTGGTCTTCTTAACTTTCAGATGAATGAATTGTGGGATTAGCAAAGGATAGATGAGGCTGAGAAATGCAAATCTTCAGTGCTCTGTTCCTTTAGACTCCATAAATACCCTATCCAAAAATGGCAACAAGCACACAGAGGAAATAGGGGCTGTGGGGGGACAGATTAAGTTGGCTGGGACTCCTCAAAACTGCCCATAACTCTTCAGCTAGCTCTTTTCAGGTCAATAATTAAATTTTGATAATTTTCTTCGGGAATTTTTTAACTGTATGTTAACATTGCTGTCACCTTTAATTAATTGCCCTGTGTCTCTGATAGAGGCCAGAATCAGAAAATGGACCTCTTACAAACTGGACCATAAGCTGCGGAAGTAGGTGGGCCACCTGGGCCAAGGCCCAAGCAGCTTTCAGCATGTTAATTTAGCTAGCTATGCAGGTAAAAGTAGCTATACAGTTTTAACCACTTCACAATTGTCCATTTGTGTGTTATATAAATTAATGTGCTAAAAGTTGGTTAGGCCACAGCCCGGGTGACCCACCCCATTCTGCAGCCTATGAACTGGACTAGCTAGTGTAGA